TTTTTTCTTCGAATTGTGCCACCCCAGGGCTCTATGGCTTGGGATAAATAATGGACCTTGTTTTCGTGTCAGCTTCCTTATCTACAGACAAGGAGATCACTCATTTATACACTTTCCACTGCCCCCCTGTACTGTTACAGTAAACCGGGATTCTGGCAGGAAAGATCAGTTTAAAGCTGTTCACAGCCAAACTCCAATGCACTTGGATCACGGGAACTCATGTTATGGGCAAGTCTTGAGTTAAATCCTTGCTGCTGAGACACCTTCTTGCTTGTAGAACAGCCACATTCAGGGACAGGAGGGGAAAAAGGAGCCAGACACAGGGACCAAGGAGGCAAAGGAAAACCCCAAGAGTATAGGATCATGGATAGCCAAGAAGAGACCCTCAGGACTGCAGAGAGGTCCCTGACAATGATGCCCGGGAAACTGCTACTTGGTGGGCAAATGGAAGGCCAGTGGTGACGACTGGTATGAGGGAACACAGAGTGCAAAGGCTAGAAGATGCAGTGGGTCTGGGGCTGTGAAAAGAAGAAAATAATGACAGCTCGAGAGGGTAACAGGGTTATGATAAGGCTTTTTTTCCCCCCCTAGCTAGAAGAGACCTATATATGCTTCACGGCGGAAGGAAGAAGTCTGTGCAAGGGGAGAATCTGGCCACTCAAGGGAGGGCGTTATGTGGGTTCTAGCAGTGGGAGACTGCAGTCACCCAGGGGAGAGGACAGAGTAGGACTACAATAAAAGCTGGTTGATCGACAGATAGTTGCTCAGTTTGCACTGGCTAGTAAACATAATGCTGTATGGTATTGGAGTTAAGCGTGCAGGCTCTGACTTCTGCATAATTTGGGGCAAGTTGCTGAAGATGTTTATGAAGTCTCCTTTTCCCTACATGTAAAATGGGGGCAGTTATAATACATATCTTTGTGGTGAGAACTGAGAGTTAATACATACAAATAATTTAAAATAGGTTCTGGTTCATAGTTAATGCTCAAAATGTTAGACTCAGTAATAAAAATAATGGCCATCTTTGAGGATTAACGATTAGAAAGCTCAAGGTCAAGTCTCATTATACAGCAATATAAAATAAGAAGGTAAAGGTGATTAAACTGACCCAGGGTGTATCTTGAGGTTCCTTTTTCACAAATAGGGCTGGATTTCAACTTTTTTCCTATTCTTCTTTCCTATTCCCCCTCAAAAAAACTTACTTGAAAATTAATCAAACTTTCGGTTAATCAAATCTTAAACACATACCATAATAAATGCTTTGGAGAATCTAAGAGTTAGAGTCATTTTTAAATTAATACATCAAATGCTGCAGTAATATGTTATACTTTTACTACACTGACTATACATAGTATAAAGTTAAAAATTGTTTTGGTGAATTTAAGTTTGTAGTTACAGTAGGAAGACACTAAATTTGCAACAGCATTCCTTGTGATTAAAAAAAAAATTTTTTTTTAAATGAAGCCACGAGCATTCTGCTTCTGTGCTTTTAATTTATTTATTTATTTGAGACTTAGTTTTGCTCTTGTTACCCAGGCTGCAGTGCAATGGCACGATCGTGGCTCACTGCAACCTCTGCCTCCCGGGTTCAAGCAATTCTCCTGCCTCAGCCTCCCTAGTAGCTGGGATTACAGGCACGTGCCATCACGCCAGGATAATTTTGTATTTTTAGTAGAGACGGGGTTTCTCCATGTTGGTCAGGTTGGTCTCCAACTCCCGACTTCAGGTGATCCGCCCGCCTCTGCCTCCTACAGTGCTGGGATTATAGGCGTGAGCCACCGTGCCCGGCAGCTTCTGTGCTTTTCAAAAAAAGGTTGAAGGGGGAAAATCACAGTAGCTGCCCTCTCTCTACCTTTAAGAAATGGAATGAGTCCGTGGGTGGCTACCAGATTGGGAGGACTTGGGGATGCTGACTCTGTGGTGAGGTATTATGCAGTCAGGTTAATTTCCTTATACCACTTGTTAAGTTAGAAGGAGGGGTAGAGAAGATGCCAGGTCTTCACTCATCCCTGGGCATTAGGGGAAAACTAGGAAGCTTCCAAGAGGAAATGCTCTGAGTTGAAGTCAGCTCATTGCGCTGCCTCAGTGTTTGACTTGGCATATTACTACAGGGTCTGTATTTTCTCATTACTAAATTGGGGGATGTAACTGACAACAGGGGGGACAGTGGAAGTGGAACCATTCTAGAAAATCTGTGACTTTTTTTTTTTTTTTTTTTTTTTTTAACGGAGTCTCGCTCTGTCGCCCAGGCTGGAGTGCAGTGGTGTGATTTCCGCTCACTGAAACCTCCGCCTCCTGGGTTCAAGCGATTCTTCTGCCTCAGCCTCCCGAGTAGCTGGGACTACAGGCACATGCCACCGCACCCAGCTGATTTTTGTATTTTTAGAAGAGACAGGGTTTCACTATGTTGCCCAGGCTGGAATCCACCCACCTCAGCCTCTCAAAGTACTATGATTACAGGTGTGGGCCACTGCGCCCAGCCTGCAACTCACTTCTGAAGGTCCAGAAATTCCTTGTTTCCTGCTGTTATTTATAGTATGCTGCTTGTTTAAACCAAACGTGAAGTTAATTGACACTTAGCCAGGCAATTTCGATTACCTGTGTGGCTTCTCTTTGGAAGAACATGGGTTGTAGACAAGTCTAAGAACAGAAAATGTTAAAATCCAGTTATCTCAGAAAACTTGGGTTCATCTCCTACCTCCCATATGCCACAAAAGACGCATGGGATGTGAAACGGTAACCTCTGGGTAAGGTGACAAAAGGTACTCTATTCTTGGCTTACGTGGACTACATGGTTAATCCACTGAATAACAACCAGAATTTTCATCTGTGTGGTAGGAGAACCAGAGGCGAGAAGGGTAGAGTGATGGCTAAAAGTACTTTGTTTCTATTACACTACGACCTTGGACTAGTTACAAAACTTTTTGTGCCTGTATTTCCTAATCCCTAAAATGGGGTTAACAGTGCTTGCCTCTTTTTAAAAAAATTACTCAATGATGCTTACTAAAGCATGGTAAGGAAGACTTTATTCAGGACCAACGCGATGGGTACAGGGATCAGGGAAACTCGGTCTTGCAGAGGGGAGAGAGAGAGAGTGGGCTCAACTCTGAATGCAGCATGGGCAAGTAGGAATTTATGGCCATGTAAAATTACTAAGAAGAACCATCGGGGTAAGAGGGATTCTGGCTAAACCGATCTAAAGGATTCTTTTTTTTTTTTTTTTGTGAGACGGAGTCTCGCTCTGTCGCCCGGGCTGGAGTGCAGTGGCGGGATCTCGGCTCACTGCAAGCTCCGCCTTCCGGGTTCACGCCATTCTCCTGCCTCAGCCTCCCGAGTAGCTGGGACTACAGGCGCCCGCCACCTCGCCCGGCTAGTTTTTTGTATTTTTTAGTAGAGACGGGGTTTCACCGTGTTAGCCAGGATGGTCTTGATCTCCTGACCTCGTGATCCGCCCGTCTCGGCCTCCCAAAGTGCTGGGATTACAGGCTTGAGCCACCGCGCCCGGCCCTAAAGGATTCTTGTAGAACTCAGGCCAGAGTGAAAAGACATGACTGGGGGATAGAGAAAGATGAGGAACCTGATCTGCTACGAGGGGATGGAGGTTCTGTGCTAGAATTGGATTTTACAAGGAAGTGCACAGATGGGCCTAGCAGAAGATTCAGAAGCCTGACTAAAGTTTGGCCAAGCAAAGAATCTTTGTCACCTCAGGGCTGTTGTGAGAATTTTAGGAGACACATCCACCAGCCTTGGCATGGGACCTGGTGCAGAATAAGTGTTCACTAAACTTCACCTATTAACATTAAAGCACTTTAAGCTGACAAACACTCCACTTACAGAGCTTTTAATGGGGCAAGCAAGGGGCAGCGGCCTCAGCTGCAGGGTACTTAATCTCTAAGAAAGGCCGCTGGATAAAACTGCATTTGCAGAGCCACTGCCTGGAGGGCGGAGAACCGTGTGTGTGTAAAGGGATGGGAAGTGCAGAAGGCACGGCCCCCGCCCACCGCAGATAGTTGCTAAAGGGTCTCCCAAGCACTCAGCCTAGCCTTTAAGTGAGAGCTGAGCAAACATTTAAAGAAATGAGATAGGGTTAAGGTGTTCGCCTGCCCTCGGCTACAACACGTGGGGACAGGTCAGGCGCACACCACAAACGCCCATATCGCGCCTGTGTGTACCAGGCACCGTCCTCGGAGGTTTACGTGCATCAACTCACTCAAAGCATCGGGTCCCCACTTTCAGCACAGGCAGCCGGCCCAAGGTCACGCAGCGCGAAGGGGCTGAATCAGACCCGAGCCCGCGCGCCGCGGCCCACGGCCTGTGCCAGCGCGCCCCTCGCCGGGTAGGGGGCCTGGTCAGCCGTGCCAGACCTGAGGGTTGTGACTGGGGGCGCGTCACCCCTCTACCGACCCCGAGCAGGAATGTTCCAGAACCCCCGCGAGCAGCCGTTGGCCGCAGAGCCCCCGGGCCGGCCGCGACCCCGCCTTCCGCCGGGAAGGTCCCTAGTGCCGGGGAGTCGCGGGCGAGGGGCGCGCGCACGGACGAGACCGCACCGCAGCGCACGCGCACTGGCGGGCACTCACTCTCCCGCCGCCCGGGAGAAGGAAGGCATAGAAAGTTCCAGCCGGTTCGAGAGCTAGGTAGCAGGCATGGCGGGAGGCGGGTAGGGGGAGGCAGGGTCGCGAGGGGGCGTGCGGCCGCCGCGAGCGGCTCTGGGCCGAGTCTGCAGCGCCGCCCCTAGCCGCGGCAGGCGGGCTGGGCTGGGGTCGGGGCGGGGGCGGCGCGGCGGGTGCGGGGCTGCGGAGGGGGCGTGGCGGCTGCCCGCGGGCGTAGAGGGGGCGGGGCGGCGGCTGGGCGCGCGGGCGGGGCGGGGCGCGCCGAGGGGGCGTGGCGCGGCGTCTGCGCAGCTGCCAGCGCCTTTAAGCCTGGGCTCGCGCGGCCGGAGCGTGCTTTCGCCGCCTGGGAGCCGTCCGGCCCGGCAGTCTTTAGGTCCCCACTGTCTCCGTCGTCCCGCCCCTTCGCGTCCCGGGAACCAGCTCGCTTCTGAGCCGTACTCGCCGATCCTCCAGGCATGCCCCGCTACGAGCTGGCTTTAATCCTGAAAGCCATGCAGCGGGTAAGTGACCTTCCCTCAGAGCCGGTCTTCCCGCGCGGGCGCCCCCGCTGCCGCTAGGCCGCCGTCCCCCGCGCGCCCTGGCCGCGGGACCCCGGGCCTTCCTGCACTCCTCCGAGGAGGCCAGGGCGGCGGGCGGGCGGCTGGCGTCCGCGGGGAGGGGGCGCGCGTGGGCCGGTCGGGCTCGGCCGCGTGCGCGCGGGAGGCGGGGGTGTGCCTGCGCGTGTGCGCGGTCCGGGAGGGTGTGCCTCGCAAGCGGCCGGGCGGGGGCGGGGCGGCCCGAGCGGGCCCCGACCCCGATCCAGGCGCCGGCCCTCGGGAGTCCAGTGGAAGGTCCGCGGGAGGACACGCGCGAGCGCCCAGCCCGGCTCCGGCCCGTCCCCGCCAGTCGTGAAGCTGCCTCGTCGCCGGCCCCGCCGCCGCCTGCTGCGTCCCGCTCCGCCGCCTGCCGGCCTCCGCCGCCCGCCTCCACTCTAGCGCCCGCCGGCCGCCCGGAACGTCCGCGCCCAATAAAGCGTTCCTCCAAAGCGTGTTTGTGCAGTTGTCTGTATCCCCGTCTCTTGCAGTCGCTCTCATGTTAAAAAAAATCTTTGACTTTTCTTTTTCTGACTTCAGCGAAAATCCCGCTCCCGGTGCCCTTAGCCCAGTTTCATTCATCCAAGTTGTGGCCTTTCTTGCGCCTCCAGAAGACACTTTATTCCCCCTGCTTTTGATTGATCTTGAGGTAGATGATTTCACGTTTGGAGGGATGCTAAGCGAACCAGCAGCTCGTTCCCTTCAGGTGACGGCGTGGCCAAGGACAGGGGCCCGCGGCCCGGAGGCAGCTCACTTCGTCCTCTGTCCTGGGTCATGTACTCCTCAAGTCGTCGCCGAAATCCCCATTCTCCCGTGAATTCGGAATTCGGTAACGTAGTTTGGTGTATGGTTTTGTGTTTTTCCTCCACCAGGTGTAATAAACAAAAATCATTGTACCACGTCCGAACTTTGGAAGCACAGCTTCCTACAGCGCTAGAGGGGTGGACGGATTTTTACGTTTGAATCAGGCTCTGGGTCAATTGCGAGGAGTATTACCAAGTTTGATTGAACTTAAGCTCAATTGATAAACTAACAATCACGGAGCGTCGGGAGATTGTTAGGAAGTGTGCTTTGCATACTGTTAACTGGGAAAGGACTCGAGTGCCTCTCTATCAGGTCCAGACAGCCTGGTCAGGCATGCCATTGTGTCCCCCAGCTTGTTCTTCATGGATTTGGAAGAAGTTAAGATTGTATTGTTCAGCCTCTTGAATATCCCTCTTGGCCCTCCTCCTCCCTTACCGGGATATGTAACTCGGAAAGGATAGGAGCAGTGAAAACAAAATATTATTAAAAGGGAAGATTTTTAATTAGGTGGAAGTTGTTTAAGCCCTCCCTTTAACCTATGTGTTTTAGGAAGTGTAGAACCTGGGAAATTTGTTACTGAAATTCCGTTTGTTTACTTTCCTTGTCTTGGGGAGGTAGCAGGTGATACTGAAAGAGGCAACCTGTAGGCATAATATTTGCGCATTCTGTAACCCTTTGAAACCTTTGAAATGAAGACTTGCACTACCCTTTGTTTTTGCCATAGTTGCCAGTTATCTTGGTTAACATAGCTGCAAGTATAAGTTAAATGTATGTCTTTTACCATACTTTTTTATGTCCTGTAATAACATAGCCTTTGGATGTGGAGCACCCATTTTTTACTCTAGTTCAGATCAACCGAGTGTAATTTGGTTAAAATAATTAATAACCTTCCTCGTAAATCTTCCGCATGAGGGAAGGGGGCAAAAAAAAAAAAAAAAGAAAAACCCTATAAAGTAGGTAATAAAGGTGAACTGCCTCTTGGAGAAAGAGGCCCCATGGCAGTAGATAGAAGGCTGTAACAATGGTGACTTATGTACAATGGTGAAGTTATGTTGAGATCCTTGACCTAAATAAAGTAATATTAAACAACAGTTTCTCACTTATTTGTTCAAAAACCTATCTGTAGCTTGTAAATGTGTCACAAACAAAGACTTCCAGGTTTTAGACCAGTTTGCTTGCTTTCAGTGTAGGAAAATAGGATTCTAAAATAGGAGGACTATTTGGGGGGAAACGGATTTAAAATGTTAACTCTAGGCTTATGAAATGAAAAATGTGACTCTTGAGTTTGCACACCGGTAGCAGGCCCTGGAGAAAGCACAGTTTTAACCTGAGGCACTTTGGGCTTCTGTTGCAAGAACGGTATTACTGAAGCTCCTCAGTTCTAAGTTGCATATCTTTCACGTTTTTAGATTCTTAAATGTACCTCTTTACCCCTTTAATATGATATATTTTCCTTTCCTCCTCCAGATCATTTATGCATCTTGGAATTGAGGAAAATGCTGTGTTAGGCAACTTTAACAGCGGATATGGAAGTTAAGAAACTATAGTTTTTCCAGCCTTTGGACTCCCAGAGCTGCTCTCCTGTTTCTTCTCTGTGGTACTCAGCCTGGAGAGCATTCTTAGTCTGTTTGGAGAGCATTCACTCCTCCCTGTCCTCATTACTTTTTTTTGACCCTAGCTTGACTCCTTTAAATTGAGCTTACTAAATTTTAAAATTTAAAATACAGATCATGTGTTGGTTCTCACGGTATCTGCATTGTAGCAAAGTCAATTGTGGGAACCCCCATTGAAAGATTTCAGAGTGTATTATGTGGAGTAAGTCCTATTGAACTATAAAATTGTACAATTAGTCACCCAGAAATTCCAATACTATGTTTTTCTCAGTTTGTAAGTGGGAGTTGATTATGAGCATCTACTTTTGTACTTCCAAGTTTGGGCATTTATGAATGATACTAGTCTTTCTAAGAAGAAATTTATTTGCAGGTACCATTTAGCTTGATTTTTTAAAAATGTGTGTACATAAAAATTATTGCTGTTTTATCCCTACTTTAGCGTGAGAAGTAGGTAAAAGTGTGGTTAAATTCTGAAATATGGCAGTAAAGTGATGGATGTTGTGAAACTAGGCCTTTAAAGGTGACAAGCAATTTGAAAAACTAGTTGTTTAACAGTCTTAGACCATATTTATGGAAGAGTCTCCAGAATAAAAAGATTTCAAAAGTCCTGTTACACCCATACCAGATACCTTCAAGAGAGTTTTATTAATTTCTGGAAAACACAGTATTCAAAGGCTGTAATGTGAAAGGACATAGCCACAAAGGAGAGACCAAGGCTGCAGTCCCAGATAGCCTCACTTCAGTGTGAGGAAGACCTTCTCTGACAATGGAAAAAGAAATGGATTGCCTGTGAGATGGTGAGGTCTAGATCCACCTCTACCCTGCCCTCCTGCAATGAGAACTTTGAGGTAGATGAGGAGAAGGGGTCATACATTTGGTGAGAGAGTTTTCTTGAGAGTGGGAAAATGGTTGAAGCCCTTTGGTTTCACTTGATAATTAGATTTTAAAGGTTGGTGTTTCAGTTAGGTAAAAGGCTGAAGTGCCAATACATGAATGGTAAAGCCACATACTGTGTAATGTAGAGGAGTTTAGGAGAAAACAAAACTTTGTAGACACTTTTTATGCCTTGGGTATACAGGAAGAAGAAATTTGAGGAAAGCTGTGCAATATATATGTATTCTTTAGTTATTTACTTTATGAACACCAATTACTTCTCATGCCCTTTGCCCTGAAGGTGTTCACAGTTGGCATATTTAGATTATGAAAGCCCTGGGATAATACTTTTCCTGAAATCTTCTCATTGGTGGTCAGGAATTTTTACGTGAAGAATTAAAGGTTAATGGCTTAATAACTAGTTCACTTGCTAAATGATTGCATGTACAAAAATATAATATTTTAAGATAGCTCATTGAAATAGTACTTTGTAGGGTAGGGAGTTTTATGTAATCTGAATTTAAGTTCTGACTTGGTTTAATTTAAATATGGAAAAGTATAATAATCAGTTCCTAAAATGTAGAAAACAATTGGTTTTCTGGTAGGGTGATGAAGAGTTTTTCTCTAAACTAGCAAGCCTTTTTTGATTAGAACACCTGGCAAAAGTTTTGTATTTGTTGTAGAGTTCTATTCAAGTTAGGATGTTCTGAAAGTAATGCCTATGAAGCGCCTGTATTTTAGATACCTTTTGGAGATGGAGGGTGCTAATAAACTCATGTATTAGGTCAACCCTAGGTCCTTGTGGCTTGCTTAGCTTGCTTGGCAACCATTTGCCAACTAGGAGGTAGTGAAGTTTCTGCTGTGTGTTGGTGGGAGACATCAGTTCAACCCGAAACATCTAGCTGTCAAGTGGTCAAGTCTTTTTTTTCTTCCCATGGGCCCTCCCTAAACAGCTTAGCCTTGTATCTTTAATAATCTCTTTGTGTTTTATCTGCTTGAAACCAGGCAACTTAAAATAGTTACCCAGTATTGGAAGACTTGACCCTGTGAACAATGTTATACTTTGATTTGGTATTAAATTTTCTTGGGTTACAGCTTATTGCCGCAGCAAGCTATTGAAGAAGGAAGGAGTCCTGTTCCTGCCCCTGAGCTACAGCTAAGGTACAAGGAATGGCTTGGGGGTAAGGAGTCCTTCCGCACCAGATATGGTTTGTATGTGTGAAGACTGCTTGTCAGAAGTTGACATTCTGCACTAATTTTTTTTCTTAATTCATGACTCATACATTCAATACTGATGTTTCTAGATTTTAAAAATCTAGGTTATATCTAGTATTGTATGCAGACTGTTATCGAATCTTCCAACCTTTTAGATTATAAAATCAGTTTCAAGAAAATTAAGAGTTCAAAAGCAATGACTGGGAAATTCTGAAGTAATATTTTTCATCTAGTGTCTTGCTGTGTTTGTACTACTGCATGTTTAACTCATCTAAAAGAAACCTGGAATACCAGAATGGGGTTTAACATCAAGGTGGAAGGAAGGGTAGAGAACAGATGATAAAATACTGTGTGATTGCTCATGTTATAAAAAGCTGTTGCTATTTAATTGTCAAACTTTTCCTGTTTCATGTTCTTAGCTTT